TTTTTTTTTTTTTTTTTTTTTTTTTTTTTTTTTTTTTTTTTTTTTTTTTTTTTTGTATGCGTCTACAGCGAAAAATTTGCTACGACCAAACAATTTTGTCACATGTTATCAAAACGTTTCACGCAAAACTGAATTGTTAAAACTTATCACAGACAAAATAAGTTTGTTGATAATTGTCAGCTAAAAAAATACTTTGTAAATTAATTGAATCAAAGTATGAAGAAAATGTGTATTGGTTAATTACCCATTGGTACTTCACTTATGTAGAGTTATAATAGTTTTTTTTGCGAGGTATTTATATTACATATAAATGATTTCTTAAAGTTTTCTCATATAATTTATGGAGCAATTTATTGAATCCTTGAAAATTCCATCTCAAGGACTCAGTCCGTGGTTATGTATTATTTTTTTTTTTTTTAAATTGAGAATTACGTATCCCCGTAAAGACTATCCTTCAAACTGGACAGCATGTGGAGGTAGATGAATGACCATAAATAAATTAGTGGAAATACGCGAACCTATTCTTGATAAATCAACTTTATGACGTAGTAAAAAAAAGCTTCACATCCCCAGCACATAAATATATATATACACACGTGGGGGGTGTCACGAGGTTTTCGGCTGTCGATCGCCTGCAACATTTCAAGAAAAGAGATTGCTCGATTAGTACATGGTGTTGGATCGGTTGAGAGTTTTTTTTTTTTTTTTCCAACAACTAAGTACGACGCACGTGTTAAAAAAAAAAAAAATCATCGTTACGTCACACATCCACACGTTGCCCACACATGTTTATTTCCTCAACAATGAGACACAAAAAGAAAACAACACACACACATATATATATATTCTAACGTACGAGGCACACACTGACGCGCTCGTACTTTTCCATGAAACGTTATATTATGTCACACCATCACCAAACAATGCAATGAACACGAGCCCTCGCGCGCGCGGATTCCGCTGCTGCTGCTGTTTCTACATTCCAAAAGTTAAGGAAAAACACACGAGGCGAAAAAAGAAATAACAATCTGTCGTTCGACCATTGAAACATCCTTTTCAACAACTCGCGTGTTGCGCGCACGTACACGTATTAGTATACTTACAATACGACACGCTGTATACGCGATACATTGGAGATTTTCAAGCTCGGAGACGTGTTTCAAATACCAATATTGGTCTAGTGATGGTGGTATGAACCATAATTATTTCAAATAATTCATACATATTTTAACACACCATGTGATAATATACCAAAGTGGAAATTTCTAACGAAGGTACATTAAACAACATTTGTTTCCATTGCATTCAACGGTAAAAAAAATTATAGTAATAATCTTTGTATCATATTTTATTTTTTATTTACAATTTATATCAAAGATATTTCATTCTTTCACGTTTCGATTCATTGTAAGCTCGAACAAAAGTAACTACAACTTTTTTTTTTTAACAAACGAAAAAAGTGATGAAAAAATAAAGCTCAAGCTACACAAACGTATGTAGTTTGCAGTTAAGTATCGGAAAAAAGATTGCGCGCAAGAATTTTTCGCGCCAAAGACGACGAGGAACATAAAGAGAGAGAAAAATATCCGGCACGTATTTTCCGCGCGACGACGCGTGTACGAGAGGGCTCGTGTATAACAAAGTTCATCTCTGCACACCACTACGCCTCCCCATCACGATTGCGTTGGCATTTCGTACTTTTGCACCCCCCACATTCGCACCCGCATTCACGCATATATATGTGCAGCTGTACGTGGAAAAAGCCGGAGAAATAGACGAGAAGAAGAAAATGCATGTGTGTCTCTAAGAGAGTTCTTTTTCGTTTTTCTTGGCTTCGGTATTTTTTGTCATCAAGTTGAGTCCAAGTGGCGAAATTGATCGGTATGCCTACGCTTTTCTTATGCTCTTGCTTGCACAAAGTTCACAAGTCATAATATAGAGTGGATGCGATGGTTTTTGTGATTCTTTGGGAGTTTTTTTTTTTTTTTTTTTTTTTTTTTGTATGCGTCTACAGCGAAAAATTTGCTACGACCAAACAATTTTGTCACATGTTATCAAAACGTTTCACGCAAAACTGAATTGTTAAAACTTATCACAGACAAAATAAGTTTGTTGATAATTGTCAGCTAAAAAAATACTTTGTAAATTAATTGAATCAAAGTATGAAGAAAATGTGTATTGGTTAATTACCCATTGGTACTTCACTTATGTAGAGTTATAATAGTTTTTTTTGCGAGGTATTTATATTACATATAAATGATTTCTTAAAGTTTTCTCATATAATTTATGGAGCAATTTATTGAATCCTTGAAAATTCCATCTCAAGGACTCAGTCCGTGGTTATGTATTATTTTTTTTTTTTTTAAATTGAGAATTACGTATCCCCGTAAAGACTATCCTTCAAACTGGACAGCATGTGGAGGTAGATGAATGACCATAAATAAATTAGTGGAAATACGCGAACCTATTCTTGATAAATCAACTTTATGACGTAGTAAAAAAAAGCTTCACATCCCCAGCACATAAATATATATATACACACGTATTGTAAAATAAAGGCATGGAATGTTACACAAAAATACAATACAGCATTTGGTTCACGCTTCACAGGAGCGAATAATGAAAGTTTGAATACCGCATGATTATCATGACAATATAATTTGTATACATACGTATATACCAATACAATTTGAGACATCCTTCACTTTCGCTTCCCGTACATGTATAGACGCGCAACGAACCGTTTCGTCATACCAAATAATATCTTTATTCATATTAAAAGTGAAACCACATACGAAATTTTCCATTCGTTTCAATAACAATTTTCGACACACTTGGTTCGCAACAACAATGCGCGTGACGTCCCACATTCCATTCGTAAAGAATAAAAAAAACAAATTCCCAAACCATCAAATTTCCCCAAGGTACACATACCTGTTGGGTCATGAAAAAAAAAAAAAAAAAAAAAAACCCGAAAAAAAAATCAGTCAAATCTTATTGTTCTCGGCGATGAGTATACTTATGTACACGTCAAAATTCCCACTTTTAAAGCACCTGCTCATTTTAAAGCACCTGAACGAGCACTACTCATATGTAGCATTATACACCCGCGGTAATGATGATTATACCGCGTGCACTCCTATGCTGGTGTGTAATTACAGCCCACACGAGCGTGAATAGATCACCTGCTCCGGCGAACACACAATGGCCTTTTCTCTCCTCTCTGTGGGTACCCTGGTTTTTCTTTGGAAATATTTTCCGACCGAGACGCCAAAGAGTTAAACTAGTCTTTGCTTTGTACACGAATCCCGCGGAGCTGCAGGGAAGAGCGCGAACCAAGGGATGCTCTTAATTGGATGCCTACTCTCTCGGTTGGCTTTCCAGAAGCCCAAACTTAGCGGTTTGGCTTAACACGCATGGTTTGGATGCTTTTCCGCTTGACTTTCGTGTTCCGCGGGCGCAGAGGAGGAGGAGCACACCGGTGAGAGAAACTGCATCAGGGCTGCAGCTTGGGTCTCTTTGCAAGTTTACACTATGGGTGATTGTTTGATGTGTGGGTGCAAACATACAGAGATTCATTTGTCACTCCTGTGCATACATAAATTTATACGCGTTGTGTGCTTTGTGTGGGTAGGTACGCTTGAGGGAGTCGAGAGAGGCTCTTTTGTTCAATTACGCTCTTACGTACAGGTGTTGATGTGCATGCGTTTTTTTTTCTTTTTTTTTATACGCTTTTCATTCACTGCTTTATTACAAACGATACGTGTATCTACTGGTGTGGCTTTGCCGATACAGGATACACTAATTAAAACTTATGAACGAGAATGAAACATCGTTACGAATCGTCATGATTTTTTATTGTGTCCTTGATTTGATGCTTTACAAGGTGCACTGATTACTGGAGAGCAAGGGCTTGAAATTCATTGTCTATACGTACTGTCGAGGTTCGATGTACTCGTTGAAAGGGTCCATAGGCCTTTATGCCCTTCAATCTCTGTTTCAACAACTCTCTTTTACAGTCTCTGTCTTTACAACTATATCTGTCAATATTTTGTTAGTGATAACTCTATTACGACATATAGAGACATAGTGATATAAACCAAAAGAGATACGACTATGCCTGTCTTGTTATCTCTGTTTTAGTATGTCAGTTTTCCTGTTTTCGTTTTTTTTTGTCCGAGTCTTTGACTGTTTTTCCGAGTCCATGTCTTGGACTGTTCATCTC